CTCTTACGATTTTATCCGTGCTGATACTTATTTTAGGTGTCCACCAAACCAAAGAGCACCGTAACTGCAGCTGAAGATCTGGCGCGCGTTATCAACGATCTGGGTCGACTGAACCTCGTCGAGACACAAACCTTGGCTGACCGCACGAATGTTGCTCAAGCTGTCCGTAAAGCCAAGGCTGACACTGGAAAAGATTCAGATAAACGCATTATCAGCGTCAGCAGTGGTTCGGGAAGCGAAAATGACACTGTCCCGCCCGCGTTCATATCGCCCAAGGCATATAAACTATCAAAGTTGACGGCCAAGGCTTCAGACGCAACCGATAACGCTGCTCTCTCGAATCTGGTACAGGAGTTTATCAATGTCATGAAATCAAACACTTCTCGTACTCTAACCAAAGATGGATTCGCTTTCCTCGATGCGCTTAATAAACAGTTGGAAGACCCTTCGGTCTTCCTTGCTCCAATGCGGTAAGTAGCTTACGTTCCGAGTTGTCTGTCTCAACGTGTTTTTCCGTCAGGTCAAAGGAAGATCTGGGGATACAGCGCGAGCCATCTAATGCAAAGCTAGGCGTTGTCGCTCGACTGCGGAAACAAGTCTCGAATGCGAAAAGTAACAGGGAGTTGGCTGAGATGGTACAAGATTTTGGTAGAGTGACCAATCGAAGTAGTGGGCGGACGATTACCAAGGTGAGGGAATATATTCCTTCTTGGGTTGGGAACTCGTATTGACCAACCTCCGTATTGAAGGATGGATTTGCATTCTTGGACGGCCTTGCACGACAGTTGATAGTTTTGGAGTAGCAAATGTATATACATATTGTATCGGTGGTTGTTCGGGGCTGGAATTCAGATGATTCTGGGCTAGCTCGCGACTGTATATAGTGTTGCCGCGACCACCCCAACTAGTACGGAAGAGTTGAGTTGCGGTCCCCAAGAAAACGGAGCCCGGCAGGTGCCGACCCCATACTACAAAGCGATCAAAATTTACGCCCCTGGATTCTGCCAGTTGTCCTTAGACTTTTTAGAGCCCCCCAACCAACCTAGAAGGCCAATTCGCTCTTTCTCCCCCTCGTCGAAATCATTATGGGTACCGGCAGAGAACTCGTCGTTGAGCAGGAGCCGGTCGTTATCCCTGACTTTACAGTCAAGGATTTGTTGAGTGTAATTCCGTACGTCCTTTTGCTGCTGCAAACTCGCTGTGCTATTCGGCTCATTGTTTTTTCTTCTTCTTTAGTGCACATTGTCATAAACGTTCTGCTTTCAGGTCGTCGCTATACATGTGAGGATAAAAGCTCATTCCCTTGCTCGCTCTGTACTGATAGTTTTGTTTTGCCAGCTTTATGGATGTTGCGGTTATCACGGCTAGTCTACAATATTGCAGCCATTGCAGATTCGTTCCTCAATCCCGAGTCCATCTCTCTGCCTCATCCTCTGCTTTACCCTTTCGCTCGTTTCGCCGTCTGGGCTTTGTACACCTTCTGGACAGGTCTCTTTGCTACAGGTCTTTGGGTCGTAGCACATGAATGTGGTCATCAAGCCTTCTCGGAATCCAAAATGGTTAACAACGTTGTTGGTTGGATCCTTCATTCCGCGTACTGTCGTCTAGCTTTTTTTTCTTCTTTTCTCTTCGCGTCCTCACATGTGATTGTCGCGCTCCTGTTTATAGCCTTGGAGTCCCATACCATTCATGGCGTATCACTCATGGCCAGCACCATGCTGCTACCGGTCATATGACAAAGGACCAGGTCTTCGTGCCTCCAACCCGCTCCGAGATGGGATTGAAGCCTATGGATCCTGAACAAGAAAATTTGCTTGGTTCTCGAGTCACTGAAGAGGTCAGCAAGGAACTTTGGGAAGCCCTCGGTGATTCGCCCATTGGTGCCATGATTGGCTCAGCCACGTACTTGGTACGTATCGATTGTTATGGGTTAATTACTTTCAGCTAAACATTCATTTTATAGCTTGGAGGATGGCATGCGTACCTGCTCATCAATGCATCCGGCCAAAGGAACTACCCCAAAGGCACCAACCGTATGTTATGTTTTGCCAAGGTCCCCTGTTTCTTGCATATGTTAAAAACCTTGATACAGACTTCCATCCCCGCGCGGTCATGTTCAAGGAGAGGGAATACGGTCAAATCATCGCATCTGATCTTGGTATCATTCTCTGGTTGGCCGGTGTCATTGGAAGTATCTATGTGTACGGTTTGAAGAACGTGTTCGTCCTCTACCTTGTGCCTTATCTTTGGTATGTGCCTTGTAAATTCTTCCATTAATTGTCTCGAGCTGAGCTTCATGCACGTTTATCTAGGGTTAACCACTGGCTTGTGTTGATCACGTTCCTTCAACACACTGACCCTCTCCTTCCCCACTACCGTGCCCCTGAGCACACCTTCCCCCGTGGAGCTCTTGCGACCCTTGACCGACAGCTTTTGGGTGACCTGGGCAGCGTTATGGGGTGGATCGGAGCACTAGCGACGCATGGTATCTCTGAGACTCACATCTGCCATCACGTCGCTAGCAAGATCCCTCATTACCATGCGTGAGTTTATTTATCATGGGCTTTCGGAAACTCAATCTTACTTATTTTTTCAGCTGGGAGGCTGGTAAACACCTTAAAGCTAAACTCGAAGCCATTGGCATGCGCACGGAAGGAGCGCCTGGTGGTTGGGCTGAAGTGTACCGTGTTTTCAAAGAATGCAAGGCATGTTTGGAACTCTCGTCTCGGTTAAACTGGGTGCTAACCTTTTTTTTTCTTTTAGTTTGTCGAGGACGAAGGCGATGTTGTCTTTTTCAAGAATGCCCGCGGTCTCGCCAAGGCTCGTCCTGTATACAACACCGAGTGTCCCAGTGACTCTGGTATCGAACTCGACAAGTAGTCAACTGGGATTTCAAAAAATCGTTGACGGGCTTCGGCACTAGATTGTTACTGTCACCGTTTCTTCTCGTTGCATTCCTTGTATCACCGTATCCGCGTAAAAGTCTTAGTAGATGTCGATTCTTATAATCCATTAAAACAACATAAATAAGAAGATTGTTATTCGTTCGTTAATGATGATGATCGTGGATCTGAAAATATCTCTCCCCAAGCTGCTTCGCAGCTGTTCAGTATGGAAAGTTCAGTCATGACTATTAGGAGCGCAAGCTTCGTCTTGGTTTGGGAGGCATCCAATTCCTGTCGGAGGAGTGTCAATATTGAATGAAAAAGTAAACAGTGAGAGACTAGACTAACGTCGATCATATCTCCAAGATTCTCCTGGTCTCTACCATCCCCGATACAAGCCTTCCGTTGTCGACAGAGCTCTACAACCACAGAGGCAGTTGTTTTCACAAGCAGCAATATTGTATTATTCTCGGGCGCATCGTCGTCGTTGTCGTCAGTCGCCTCCTGTGCGATCTGATACCGTGCTACTTGCAATAAGAGGGCTAAAATATCATCTGCCGGTATAGACTGAGCACAATTGTGGGAAGTTATCAAGAGCCATAGTTGCCAGGATGTCTTCCCTTCGCAGTTGATGCAAAAGGTGGTGGCTGAGTCGTTGTTGGGGTTTCCAGGATGGAAGAAGATGAGCTCTGAATTGGAGAAGATCGCTGGGTTGAATGATTCGACTAGGGTGTTCCATGGTAATCCGAGGGGTGTGTTTTGGACGGGAATCGATGTTCCCGGATGAAGCGCGGTGAGAGCCTGTATCAGATCGTCGAATTGCCAGTTGATACGGTCATTCTCGTTCACGTCTAATACGAATCCGTATTGAGTGAGAAGCTGCGCGTTGGTTAGGGTTTCGCCGTATGTGTTGAATATCTCGGAATGAGGTGGGATTTCGGTGTTGGAAACCATGTCGTAGGATTCATCGTCGTCGTCTTCATCATGACCAGACTCGGGAGCGCCTGCGTTTTGCATGTCAAGGTCCCGATCGTGTGGGCATTGTTTTAAAGAGCCACATTCTGGACAGACTTGGTATTCAGTCTGTTAGGGGACTAAGTATATGGTGTAACGGCGTGTAGGAGAACTGAAAGCTGACCTCCAAGTGGACGTGATTCTCATATGTATGGTTGAATCTGCTGAATGTTCATTCGAGTCAGAGGGCTCAAAGGAGGAGCACTTACGCATCAGCAATCGGAACCATGGAAAGCCCATGATACGCATCGACAAGGAAAGCTCTTGAAGATACAAGGGAATAAGCACGAAAGAATTGGCGTTGTAAGGATGGATATGGTTTCATCGCGACAGTCGTATTTTCTTCAGCCCAGATTCGGGTCAAAGTGGGGACTACAGTTTCGTTGAAGTATTGGTGTAGGTGATCCTACTTTGTAGTTCAATCGTGAGTTCAAGAAAGGCTGAAAGGGAAAAGGATGGTGCTCACTATGAGAGGTATGCCTCCGGGCCCAAGAAGTAAACGCTCCGCCTCTGTTCCTTTGAGCAATTCAAGAGCCTCGGGACCGTCGTCCGAGGTCCCAGAGTTCCAGAAACTAGGAAGATCGACCAAAGCAGCTGGAAGGGATTGTAGATATCCATACCATCTCGATCTTGCTCCTCGTTCTCTAAAGTTATCGGAACTAAGAAAATGAAGAAGAAGCAGGCTTGTAAGCCTCACAGTTCCACAAGTAATCCCAAAGACAATGCGAGCTGGGCTTCTAATCCATAGCTGCTGCTTTCGATGAATCGAGCTGCAGAGCAGGATTTCACAGAAAGTACAGATGCTTTTGGGATTTTGACTACTGTAGTATCTGCGGATTAGACTAGATGAGAAAGTTGGAATGGATGGATTCATACGTGTTTCTGAAGGTCCAATCGATATTGAGCCAGAATAAACCGCAAGGCCAATATCGTCTGGCACTATTTGAAGTCTTTTGTCGATTTCAATGTTGTTAATTGAACACCAGTTTAGTAGACTGTTTATCCGAGCAGGGTCCATAATAAGTGCGAGCAGTTTTTTTGAAATGAAAAAAAAAAAACAAAAACAAAAAGTTGGGAGGATATATCTGAAGACACCGAACGCTCCCTGGCTGGGAGTCGAACCCAGCTTTCGCGCGATCAGATTGCAAGATGCTGATGACAGGCGCGTGTACTAACCGATATACTACCAGGGAGATGATATTAGATTTTACTTCTCAAATTCAATTTGACGATCTGGAGACCGTGCTGCAGATCTCAAAAATCTTTGAGTCGAGACCAACTTACGTCTGATGTTTATTCAAGTCAAGTTCAAGTTGTTTCCAAACTAGTGCATGCTTTCCAACACATCACCAGCCCGTACCTTATCGCAGAATACCTACTTTCATCGCAGTGGCATATACGGTATCGTGTCTCCAGTTTAGCATTTCTACAACGTAAAAAAGTATACATCACCTCTATAGATCGCTACCCAATAACTCGTCAGGATTCGTTAGTCTTCTGTGGCTCATGTATGTATCGTCTCCGATTCGTTAGCCGTTACCTGAAGGCTAGCATTAGTATCCTCCACGTCCTTTTCCTTTTCTGGAATCTGTGATTCCAGATCGACATCCAAACCCTGCTTCTCCTTCTCCTTCTGCTCGCCTCCACCTTGCGTCTTTCCTCCACCACAGCTCTCTTCGACTCCCAACCACCCTCGAAGCCAAACCACGTATACCGACTACAGTGTGGTCCGCGGAGCATTAGGATTAATAATGCCCATGCAGTAAATCCTAGTGTCATGGCGGCGGTTGCACGCCATCCGTAGGTTAAGAAAACTTTGGTGCCTGCGGAAGAACCCATGACTTGGCCGATGAATAGCTGAAAGGGGAAAAATCAGTGTTTATCGAGGCATGAGCGATAAGGTACTCACAGAGAGAATGTATACAGCGTTTAACCGTGCTCGAGCATGAGGCGCAATACTGGAATTATAAAATTCACCGACAATCCGAACCGACGGATGAAAATGGGGGACAAACCTGAAAATACTAATCGCAAGCGACGTCTCGAGCATCTGTCGGAATACGTCCAATCCGACCGTAGCCAAAATCACTGGTGCCACGTTAAGCCCGTTTCCTACTATCTGAACGACTTGGAATATTAATAGTGCAAGACATGCAACCAGAGAAGCGTGCCAGGGTACTAAAAAGTCGATGAATCGTCCTACGATCGGAGCCATTGCGACGCCAACCATTCCTATGAGTCCGAAAAGACCAATGACCAACCTATATGCACGAAGCGATTAGCGGAAGCAAGGGAAGCGAAGCTGAAAAGAAGAAGAAAAAGACCTACGTCGAGTAATGATACGGCTCTCCGCCCAAGAGGAAAGTAAGAGTAACCCAGAAACTGCTAAATGCAGCAGCCGAGCCCATATTAGAGAGACAACCCTGGATTAACACGGGCTCCGTAACGGAAAACTTGGCCATCGTCCACATAATGTTCGCATAGGTCAAATCCCGGTTCTTGGGTGGATAATCCGGTACTTGGAGAAATAGAACGGCGACTAGTAGGCCTTGTATACCAATAGCCATGTAATACGTGATTCTCCATGAAGCGAATTCGCCAATGATACCGGATAAGACACGGGCGATGAGGATACCGAACATGAGCCCAGAGAAGACGATGGACATGGCGGTTGCGCGGCGTTCTGGGGGAGCAAGATCTGCTGCAAGGGGAAGGAGAACTTGCGGAGTAACAGAGGCAGCTCCGACTAGGAATGATAGTACTTGGAATGCGTGTAGATTGTTCGTGATAGAGAGACCAATGGTTAAGCAAGCTGCGACGATGACGAGGATGAGGAGAAGTTGTCGGCGGCGGACGAGATCTCCGAGTGGTGATATGAAGATTAGTCCAATTGCATATCTTTAAGATGAGATTAAAATCACAACCTCATGAAGGAAGTGAGATTCTGAACGTACCCAGCTTGGATCAACGTCGGAAGTCTGCGGTTTGAGACGACGGTCAGTAAAAGAATAAAGTACTATGAGAGATAGCATCGATAGCAACCCACTTGGAGATTTCATCATAAGACACGTCAAAGGAACTAGCAAGCTCGACTATTCCTCAGATCAACTTCAAACTATACAAACAACGCGAGAAATCTCACTCAGAATTGGTTGACACCAATACAGATTAGCAACACCTGCAATCCGCAACCCGTAAGTTCAGATAAGACAATAGGCCGAACCAAGGCTTACTAAATGTGCTCGTTAATCCGAAAAGAATATTGAGAAAGAGTCCAAAATGAAAAGGTTTGTCGGGGTCATAACGAAGACGTTTCGGTATTGGTAGAAATCCAAAATCCTTGTGGTTTGTGTAGGGAGCCGGTATGTTGTTGGAAGGAGGGCTCATTCCGGACTCGCTGAGACGGTGGAAGCTCAGGAAAGAACGGCATTTTACCCCACAGTGAGAAGAATAAGTTGAGAAACGTTTTTCCGGGGAAGAAGCTTTCCGACGGGAGCGGGTTCTGGGCCGAAAGGCGCCACATCGATGTCTACACTAAGGTAGGGGACAGGCAAACAACGCCTAACTCGATAACGAATTAGGCGATTTGTCCAAGTTTTGATATACGTCTATAGGTGTGTATCTACACCTAGTCCTCCCTTTATCTCGCTACTGGTCGACATCGTTCGCTGTGGGAACGTTGTCACCTTCTCTTCACAGGCAGACGTCGAGCTCTTCAGCCCGACTGATTTACCTCGTTCTATCTTAGAACATCTCATTCTTCCACAGCGCCTACAAGCGCCGGACCTTGCCACCAACCACCATGTCCGAGCTCACCGTATGGGTCTTCGTCGACCATTTCAACGTCGCGAGAAAGCTCACATTATCATCAAATCAATTTGTCTCGGATTTGGAGGATTACATCCTCAAGCATTACACTTCAGGCGAACAGTGTTCACTGCAGACTATCGAGATTTGGAAGGTGAGTTTCTACAGGCATCGAACCTCTTATCGTCGTTAAACCTATTGTTGCAGCTTGCGGGCTCAGTAAAGCTCCTTCCCATTGACGACTGTAGGGAAAGAGTCCTCGCGGACAAGAAAAATAGACTCTTTCCACAAATGTCCATTTCGACTGTGTTATCATCAATAATTGATGCTTTCCAAGTTTTCGTGACCTGGAAGCCTTCTTGTCAGCTTCTTTTGTCTTGTCAGATTATATCCTATCTTGGGCTTACTTGCATTCATAGTGAAACGTTCCTTGTCGGAATGGGATGAGAGAGATTCTAAACGTTTTCATTCCGGTTTGTACCAATACGCGAGGCCTGGAAAAGCGTCTTCTAATTGAATTTCTCAGCGGAAGAGGAATCTTATAAGCAAGCGGTGGCTAATGGGAAAGCAGCCAAGTCTCCGTCTAATGCCATCAAGTTACCTGATCTTCGAGAACAACAACGAGATTACCCTGTCCTCAACGGGCGACCTGACGGTGGCCCACCTATTGCGATATATCATGAAGTCTTTGGGAGATTCCAGGATTCCCTCTCTGATGATTCTTCGATTCCTTCGCCGGATATTTACCGCCTTGTTCACATGCTGTTTGCTTTCTCCGCTCAAATTTATGATGATGATGATGCGAGGTATAAGGCAGTCATGCCGATCCTATCGAAACTTCTCCAAAGCCCTTTCCAGAAATTTGTACATAAGGATAAAGCTGCAGCGGATGGGTCTGTTGTGGTCACTTTTTGCTTCGGAGATGTCAAAATTGGATGCGGACTCTGCATTGTGGAATTGAAAAATGAAATTGGTACTGGTGACGGCGACCCTTCTTTGCAGGCCGGATTCACCTGTCGAAAAGCGTGGATTGAAGAAAGCGTGTGTATGTCTTTGCTGTAATAAAACCTGTATTAATGTCCTTGATTTCTTTTAGCTCCAGAAGCTTCGGGATCAATGCTGTTGTCCTACCTTCCTGGTTGCCATAGCAGGACCTCATATCATGGTTTCTGGCTCAGTATTTTCAGACAAATTTATCGTCCAGCCTTTGACCCCTTTCCTACCCCTCTATGCGCAACGTCTCGAGGAGTATCACCAAGTACACCTGGTTGCAAAGGTGTTCTTTGCTCTTCGCACAGGTTTGGCAAATTTAACCGAATATTATCTAACCCTTCCTTATGCACCATTGACGTTGCCTCTGCCTTCACGATACTTTCCCTACATTCCGAAACTGGTCAATGTTCAAGGTTTTAAATTTGACCATCGCTTAATATCCCAGGACCCAACGCGCGCGATCTTTGCTGCACGGGATGCCAATGGCCGTGAGCTCATTGTTAAATATGTCAAAAGTTATGGTGAAGAAGCTCATAGGCTTCTTGCCCCCAAGGGGCTTGCTCCTGAGCTCTTGCAATGCTGCGACATTCCTGGGGGGCTCAAGATGGTTATAATGGATTGTATCCAAGGACAGGATGTTGCGGAAATGTATCCTGGTAAAATTCCTCGTACTATTGTCGCTGAGATTGGAACAGCGATCGAAATTCTGCATCGTGAAGGCTATGTCTTCGGTGACTTGCGGAGAGTGAACGTGGTAGTTTGTGACGGGCATGCCATGCTTATCGATTTCGATGGGTGCGACAAAGAGGGTCAAGCTCGGTATTCCCTTCTCAATCCCGACGTTAAAGAATGGCATACGGATGCCAGTGCTGGCCAGTTGATTCAAAAAGAGCATGATATTCACATGCTGGCGCTGTTGGAAAAGGATTCTGAATAGTTTCTTACATTTATCTATGTGACTCTCCAATTACTTTATAGCCTTTCTCTCATCTTAACTCTACTGTGTAAATCTCAAATACAATGTGAGAAAGCCAGTCAATTGTGCTTTTGTCACACCGCCAATAATTATGCTTCAGCTTGGCTGAAGCATAATGGGAAATAAATTATTTCAATCCCTATATGAAGTGCACTTTTTCAGAAAAATGTAGAAGTCATATATTTCAATAGAGCGATGAATAAATTGAATTCCGATATTCTGAATTGAGAACTTTATATAGATGTGTGAAAGAGAAGCTTTCAATCGGACTCTGGAAATAATAGATTCAATGTGGACTTGAAAGCCCTGCTTTCACAATAAGAGCAAAAGTAATTGTTTCAAAGAACAATTCAATTTTCCACTGAAATATTGCCTTTCGCTGTGCGGTTTGGCAGCGGCCCGGATCGGCCCGAGAAT